GGACTCGAAAAGGGCCCGCCGAGGGGACCCCAGGAGGGCCTCTGGGGAGCGCAGAGAGAGCTGTGCGGGCCTTCAGAACGGCCTAAAGATGGCCTCACCATTGGGTCGGGCATGTCCCCCTGCAGGCGGACTTGGGACGAAATATAAGAAAAAAAAAAAAAAAAAATGGTCAACACATCGTCCCCATACCATGTTTGTTACTATTTTTGAATGTTCCCCTTGTAGAGGGACAGGCCCGACTTACCCCTAACAGAGCTCCAAGCAGCCTTTCAGAAGCACGGCAGTTATGCGTGCGAATCGTTTCTGATGGGCTGGTGGGGACTCGCGAGGCGACAACAATTCGGGGCTCCAGTCCATCACACGGGCCACTGAAGGACAGGGCGCAGAGCTCGAAAAAGTTGCTTGCGGTCCAGAGGCCTGAGGAAGATCTCGGGCAGGACCAGGCAACATTCTGACCTCTGAGGAGAGCTTCCAACAAGTCTCGATTTCGAAATCAGTGGTTTACCTCCAATGTTCCCGCTGGGAACTCACTCCGGGACAGAAGCTCAGCGGGGCCCAGCGCTGCACACCCACACACCAATGTGCGCACACATTCTCGAGGGATGCGTTCACGATGACCAGGCGGAGGCGGTGCAAACCAAACTTTATTCGATATCATCTTTCTTGAATGCTGTGACAGGGGTCGCAAACAACGACCACCACAGCGATGGCGTGGGTCCGCCGTACATCATTGTTAATCCAAAGCACCCCGCAGTACTTGCGCAGCCGCGCTGCAGCAAGCACGTTTGAACTCGTACTATGCACGCGGCTACCCCTGGGACAATGCAGCGAACTGCCAGGGCGTAAATTGAAATCTGCGCGGGGGTCCGAATCATGAGCGCCAGCACACCCTCGCAGAAAGGCGGCTGGGGGCAGGGATGGAGGAGGGAAGGGAGAGGGAGGAGGAAGGAGGGAGGAAAGAGGATGGAGGGAAGAGGGTGGAAGGATCAAGGAGGAGAGAGAGAGAGAGGAGCGTGAGGGAAGCAAGAAGGAAGGTGGAGGGGTAAAGGGAGGAGGGAGGCGGGAAGAGAGAAGAGGGAGGGGAAAGAGGGAAGATGCGAGGCGGATTTTTATGTGTACATGTTCACCAGGGCCCCAGGGCCCCAGGAGGCCGTTCGGAAGGCAGTGGACCGCAGCGGGAGGAGGGGCAAAAAACGCGCCCCGGGGAAAGAAATTAACCTGACGAAGGACCCAACCAATGCAACTGCGAGTGCCGCATTGTGGGTACCGCTTTCGGTGGAGCTCCCCATGGGGCCACGAAGCATGCAAGGGGTGCGCCGAAATCGGTGGTCGGTGGCGCGGACGCATTCGGACCCTGCCACTGGAGCCTTCGGTGGAGCCTATGGGGCCACGAAACGCTGTCCTGGGTGGCGGTGACGCATGCGGACCCTGCCACTAAAGCCTTCGGTGGAGCTCCCTATAGGGCCACGAAACGCTGTCCTGTCCTGGGTGGCGTTGACGCATGTGGCCTGTGCCACTGGAGCCTTCCACGGCGCCCCCGATGGGGCCACGAAACGCTGTCCTGGGTGGCGGTGACGCATGCGGCCTGTGGCACTGGAGCCTTCGGTGGAGCTCCCTGTGGGGCCACGAAGCGCTGTCCTGGGTGGCGGTGACGCATGCGGCCTGTGGCACTGGAGCCTTCGGTGGAGCCCCCTGATGGGGCCACGAAGCGCTGTCCTGGGTGGCGGTGACGCATGCGGCCTGTGGCACTGGATCCTTGAGTGGAGCCCCCTGATGGGGCCACGAAACGTTGTCCTGGGTGGCGTTGACGCATGCGGCCTCTGCCACTTGGAACTCTTCGGGTGGAGCTCCATATGGGACCCACAAAAGTTACGCTGTCCAGGGTGGCGGTGCCCGCATGCGGGACCCGCAATCAGTGCACTTCGGTGGAGCTCCCTATGGGGCCACGAAGCGCTGTCCTGGGTGGCGGTGACGCATGCGGACCCTGCCACTGGAGCCTTCGGTGGAGCCTATGGGGCCACGAAACGCTGTCCTGGGTGGCGGTGACGCATTCGGAACCTGCCACTGGAGCCTTCGGTGGAGCCTATGGGGCCACGAAACGCTGTCCTGGGTGGCATTGACGCATACGGACCCTGCCACTGGAGCCTTCGGTGGAGTTCCCCTTGCCACGAAACGCTGTCCTGGGTGGCGGTGACGCATGCGGACCCTGCCACTAAAGCCTTCGGTGGAGCTCCCTAAGGGACCACGAAACACTGTCCTGGGTGGCGGTGACGCATGGGGACGCAACCACTGGGGCCTGTGGTGGAGCTCCCTATGGGGCCACGAACCGTGTGAGGGGTGTCCCGTAATGCGTGGCTGTGAGGACGCAACCACTGGGGCGTTCGGTGGAGCTCCCTATGGGGCCACGAACCTTGTGAAGGGTGTGCCGAATTGGGTGGCGGTGACGCATGAGGACGCAGCCATTGGGGCCTTCGGTGGGGCTGCCTATGGGGCCACGAACCGTGTGAGGGGTGTGCCGTAATGGGTGGCGTGACGCATGAGGACGCAGCCACTGGGGCCTTCGGTGGGGCTCCCTATGGGGCCACGAACCGTGTGAGGGGTGTGCCGAACTGATGATGATGGTGATGATGATGACGATGATGATGGTGACGATGATGCTGATGATGGGGACAGGGAGGGGGGGGCAGTGGGAGGAAGGACGCGGGCGCTGTCTGTTCAAAACGAGGAACCAACACCACAGGATGGATGGGAAAAAGCAACAACAAAACAACGCCGCGGGTCCGAAACCCTTTCCCGAGGGGGTGGGGGGGAAAGCGCCCGGGGGGGGGGGGGGAACTGTAGCCCGGAGGATATGGACATCTCTGTACCCCCGAGAACCCGCACACGTCCAGATCCACCGCCTCCCGAGGTCCAGCAAAATCGGTTCCCGATATGCAAAGATCCCAACCTCGGAGAAGAGGGAGGGAAGAGGGAGGCGGGAAGAGAAAGGCGCGACGGGAAGAAAGAAAGTTTGAGCAGGGACCGACCGCCGTCCCGGCATTCCTATAGGCCTACCACGACATGTTCTTGGAACCCCCCAAAAAAATCGAATCACCAAAACCGTGTTCTTAGAAGATAAACACGATGTTTTAATACAAGACAGCCCCAGCCAGAAATGTTCTCAGAGCATGTCGTGCAGACCACAAAAGGTTCTTAGAACATTCTTTGGTGGGCCTATAGGCGAGTCAGGACGCTTCGCCACTGCTTGAAGGGTGTCCCGGCACTCGCCACAAGGACCCCCTCTGCGCGGCGGTTTCCCGCGTCAGGACTCGGGCAGCATCGCCTAGCCGGCCGGCGACAACTGCCGGGCGGTGGCTGCCAAGAGTGGCGCACGCCGCGAGCAGGTCCGCCACCCCCCTCCACCTCACCTCCTCGTCCTAATCCCTGGTCCTCCTCGCATTCGCCCCAACCTCCCTTCCTTGCCCCCAATACCTTTTGCTTGTCCGCCACCGCGCCCCCTGCCACGTGGGGGCGCGGCAGAATGCCGAGGGTCGTCTGAAGTTTTCAGTCGACTTCCAAAAACGCCCCCCCCCTGTGAGGTGCGGGCTTCGGCACAGTTCGCTTGCGCCTGAGCGGCACGAGTGGAAACGAGTGGGAAACGGGATGAGTCAGATGAGGGAGGGGGAGGAGGAGGAAGGGGAGGAAGTGGCGGCCTGAAGGGGTGATTGAACCAAATCCTTCCTTCCAAACCAAACCTGAACGACAATCCGTAAAGGAGAACTTCTTGTTCAAGAAATCCGTGCGCAAAAAAAAACATGAAAAGACAAACGAACAACTGTGATAATCCGTGCTGGCGGAATCGCTACTGACAAGAACCTTATTACAGGAGTAGTGACCGAGAGGATTGTATTCACATGTAAGCAATAAAAAGTAAAGGATCCGTTAGTGTACGTTGGTATATATGCCAGGCAAAGATAGCCATTATAAATCACAAGTGATACAGGAATTCATGCTACAAGGAGCCACTCAAACAAAACACGAAAAAACAACATTATTAAATCAGGCTTACTAGCGAAATACGTGTTCGACGAATCCTTCGTGGAAAAATCCGTAGGACAGGAAGCCGTTCTAAAGGAGTCCGGACTGCAAGAACTCTTACGGAAGGGAACCTCAATTAAGCTTTCTTCCTGGAAGAAGACTATGCGGGGTCAATTCGAAAAGAATACTGTATAGATTTGTCGTCATTGCTACAAGAACCCTTCCTGAAGGGATCCTTGCTCAAAGACTCCTTACTGCACGGCTGTATTACGGAAGGAATCCACACTACACGAATATGTGCTGCAAAAATTCCAACACCAACATAAATAATACATAGGGACGGGAACCTCAATTAATGGCCCTTGGTTCAAATGAACGCTTTGCAAAAAGGAGTCTGTACAGAAAGAGGCACTACCAACTTCACACAAATTGAAAGAACCCGGTACAAGACGAGCCCGTACTAAAAGAGTCTGTACTGAAGGGATCCTTTCTTAACGGCGCCTTCCTCAATGGATGTATTACAGAGGAGGCCCTTGCTAGAAGAGTCATTGGTGCAGAAGCTAGTACTCTACGAAACCTGACTGAAGGAATCCTTGGTTAGGACGTCTTACTGAACGAATGTGTTACTGATTGGATCCTGACTAAGAAGTCCTGTATGGCTGAATAAGTCCTAGAGTAATGTTTACTGGAGGGTCCTTATGTAAGGACTCCTGGTGCTCGACATTTTTACCACACACACACACAACACACAAGAACGACATCATTAACGGGTGGGGTCCCCAGGCTTGTGACGTCTGTAGGCAAAACGATTAAGACCCACGAGTGTCCAAGCGACGTATCTTTCCACATTCTGCGCACCAGGAAGAACCACCAGTTCAAGGGTCTTGGGGCGTGGGTGGCTCGCAGGCTTCCTGAATCCCTTCAAGTCAAACCACAGATTCTTTCGTGCGCAGAAAACCTCACCTCGACATTGAACAACATGTCCTTCCCCAGCGATGCAGTGTTCATGCGATACGACGTCCGAGACTTCATCATGTCTCGGGGTATCAACGAACTTATGCGCGGTGCTGTCGCTGATGTGCCCCAGGCTGAGCTCCTTTTGAACAACCAGTGCGTCCAGTCGAGACTGTACGATGACAGGATTTGGCAGGTAAACGTTGGCTCGGGGATGGGGGGGGATTTTTCGGGAGACTTGTCTGACGCGGAATTTTACCACAGGTTGGAACATTCCAGGGTGAACAATCGGATATGGATGTCCAGCAGGGGGGTCATTTTGTACGTAGGGTTCAAAGACGACACCTGGATCATCACTGAAAAGTGCCTCGCGCCTGTCTGGCACGTGCATGTGATTGGCTTGTGGCAGCTTCGGGTGTCGGTAATGGAAAACTGTTGCGCATGGAGCGAACATGTTAGACATACACACTTTTAAAAGTCCGTGTTCTGCCTCCACTGGAAACTTAGCATACAAGCCAATATGGAAAAGACCAGTTTGGGCATTCCATTGTCTTTGTTCCGGAACACCCTCAAGGCATGCACGTTTTTTGGCCGTTTGCAAAGCTTGGGCATCTCCATCGTCATTCATCCATCATCCAGCGAAGTTTGGACGCAACAGGGGTGTCCATCGAGCGTCTCAACCAGCATTGATTTCACAAGTCCTTCATCTAACTTCTGCGTGCCTGGTACTCCAAACGTCCGAGACCCACCGCCCGTCCCGCCCCCACTGCCAAATTGTGGGCGCGAGTCCCATACCACATGGTTGGGCGTCGACCGGTCTAGCGAAGCTGTTCAACAAGCCTTTATCCCTGGACATGCCTCGGAGCATTTGCGTGCAGTCTGTAGGGTCTATTCCTTCGATATCGGGCCTGCATGGGTTGTGCGGCAGGCACCTTTTGCCCAGTTGGTCCAGCAACTCCCGCACTAGTCACGCCTCAGCGTGCTAATTGGAGGTTGGTTGGGTGCGGACGGGGATCCTTGCTTACTCATTTTCACGCACATGTTTGTAGCAGCAGTTGGCTCGGGGTTTTCCCTGCGCCCCAGGCCCGCGCACAGCGGTCTGCGTGCCCATTTGAATACTTCTCGGGTGGCAAACCGAATAACGTTTTAACAAGTGGTGCGTTTTGACGTCGCTGTCATAACATCGAAGGAAACCAAAAACAACGCCTCATTCCTCAATTTGACACAACAACCACGACTAGTTGAAATTGTCGTAACGCGGGCTCTAGAACATTCTTACGAAACCCCACCAGCCTTAAGGCGACCGGTGGTGTAAAGAGGGTCACTTTGCTCTTCCACAACCCCTCCCCCCTTCGGGGAGGGGAACCTTCCCCTTTCCTTCCCTTGGGTTTTTTGGGGAGGGGCCGCGAGGTGTCAGAGGGTCCTTTTGTTCGGCCCCTGGGAGGGCCATTTTTGTTACCATTCACGTGGCCCCCGATGGGGGGGACGAACATCTGGCACCCCCCCCTCTTTTGACCAGCCGCCTCCAAGATGGCCCCAGGAGGCCCTCCACGGCTCCCAAGAGGCTCCCAGGAGGGCCCAAAGAACGCAACCAAAAAAACCAAAAGGCCTCCAAAAAACACCCGAAAAAACCTCCGAGAGGCCCCGAGCGGCCTCAGAGAGCCCAGTATGACCTCCAAGGTGGCTCAGATAGCCCAAGCTGGCTCAAGATAGCTCCCAAGTTGCTCCAAGCGGCCCCGAGACCGCTCCAAGACAACTCGAGATGGCCACGACGCCTTCCAAGCCTCCCTCGCTGTTTGACGATGCACGTACCTTCCTCTCTCCCCCCGTTAACTCTCATGGGCATCGTTTCAGAATGAGCTGGCGAAGGTACTTCCTTGATCGCGACCGCGGCGAAGGGGCGAAGCACAGAGGCGACGGCCTAAATTAGCGCACGGGAAAAGGAAGGCGAAAAGAGACAAGACCAAGCAGGGGAAGAGTCAAACAGGAGGCGAGCCTCGCTGCCGCTCACTGGAGAGCGCACGCCAGGAAATCCATCCGGCTGACGTGCAGAACCAAGTGGTAATTCGGGTAGCCAATCACGTCCCTGACGAGGAAGACCGCTGGAATAAGCACAGCAACTCCAGAACAGGACGAAGGACGCGGAACGTATGGCAGCAGGCCGCCGTCTCAGAAGAAAGACTGGGCATGCGGGCGCTCAACGGAAAAGATTCGGATCGCCAGACACCGAAGGGTGTCGGGGTGAGCTGGTGGGGATACGCGAAGCGTCAAGACTTGCATTTGGAAAAAATAATCCGCATATAGGAAACCTGAATGAGCTCCGTTAAACCGAACACAAGCCAGGACACCTGTCAACGATTGTGTTCCATGTTCCAAATACTGCAAGCGGGGAAGCCAGGTGCATTCATCTGTGATCCAGTTTTTTTCTAAAATCCTGAAAGATTATCCAGCCGAGAAACATTAGGCATTCTCAATACTTCCATACACTTACAATACTCAGTCTCTACATCTCTCCCTATCTCTTCCCCGCTACTCTCCTCCCAGTCGGGCAGCCGGCTCGTTTGAGATGCGCATTGTCGCTTCAATGCTGGCTACAAGTTTGCACTGGACGGCAACGATCCCTGGTATAAAACACAAAGGTCAACATTGGCCGTGCGCGCAGCGGTCTGGCCGCGCTTTCGCCCGAGACGGCCACAATGTATAAAAGAATCGGGCCCACACATCAATGCGAACTACATCTTTGTTCCGGACAGCCACGATCCCTTGCAGAAGAAAAACCCTTTGGACGCCCGCAACGGGTACGGAAAACATGGGCACAGTGACCATCAGCAACTGTTGTCCCAAACCAACAGCGGCCGCTGTTGGGCAGGCGGCCTTCTGCCTCGAATGTGCACAGGCCGCGGCGACACGGACAGCGAATCCAGTTTCGGGGATGGACAGACCCCCCTTTAGTAAAACGTGGTTTAGTGAAAACGACCTGAGGCCCAAACCTGGCGGACGCAAGCCTGGAAAATGACGGCCACGGCGCCCTCTCGAGAACCGAAAACGGACAATTCACTAATCGACGTGTCACTGTTGGGGGTTCTGTCCACCTCCGACAGTTCAAAATGGACAAGAATCGCTGTTGGTCTTTGCACCTATATATTTTCCGTGCACATGCCGACCGTGCCGATACTCGCGTGCACCGTGCTCTCCCCCGTTCCGGTCCCGGCGGCATCCTCTTCCCGCCCAGCGTGTCGCTCAAGGCTTCTGAAGCGCCTCTCACGGGTCGGCTATACGTAAGAGTGACCCTGGGTAAGAGTGACCTTTGGTGCGCGGCTTTTGGGGGGCCGCGGGGGGACCAAACCTGGGCGCGCAAGCAGCTGCCGCTGCTTCGTTCTCAGCCATCTGGGGACCCATCTGTGCCCGCACCAAAGGTAACTCCGGCGAAGGGTCACTCTTACGTCTAGTCGAACGGGGGGCAGGGCGGGAAGCCCGAGACCGCCTGGCCCAGCAGCAGCCCGGCGATGGTTTCGCCTGAGACTTCCTTTTTGTTTTCGGTTTCGCCTGGGACTCACTTGCTTAGCAAGAATAAAAGGACCCCCACCCCTTTGGGAGGGAACCTAAGTTCGGAGGGCCAGACACACTACTGTCAACCCAAACCGCCCAGAAATAGTATCCCTAATGCGAGGGACGGGGCCACATCTTCATCGTGTTATTAAGGTTAGGGGTCCTTTTGTTCTTGATGACTCCTTTCACTGAATTCAGCAAGTCGGACTCTCGCCTGAATGCCGACTACGTGTGTCGTCCGGACGGCCACGATCCCGTGGAAAAAACACTAAAGTCCACATGGCCATGCTCACCCCTGTCCCAGCTGCAGCTGTTCTTTCTCGGGGCTTTCCGGCCAACCACAGACGCCATGTCCTTGCGGACTGAAGGCGCAAACAAGGCTGTGCATGCCAGTGAGGAGTTCGGCCGGCTACCTACCTCGGCGGTCCCACAGGTCTCGTAGGTCCCACACAAGTCCCACAAGTCCCGCAGGTCCCTCAGGTAGGGGGCCACCTGCGAACCCTACCCCTACCCCCCACGATTTCTGAGGGGGAGGGTGGGGTTCACTTCATTCGGGAGCTCCCGAGCGAAGTGAACCCCACCCTCCCCCTCAGAAATCGTGGGGGGAAGGGGTAGGGTTCGCAGGTGCCCCGTATCGGGTCCCACAGGTCACACAAGTCCCACAGGTCTCGCAGGTCTCGCAGGTCCCGCAGGCCACAGAGACCCCCCGGGGTCCCGCGAGTCCCACCCGCCCGGCGGTCCCACGGGCCTCTCGGGCGCCGCACGCCCCCACGGGCCACGGAGGCCCCCCAGCTCCCCAGGCCGAGCAGGCCCCACGAGGTCGAGACAGTCCCACGGGTCCCACGGGTCCCACGGGTCCCACATGCCCAACAGGCCCCACAGGTGTCATACATCCCGCAGGTCCCCCAGGTCCCACAGGTCCCACAGGTCGTACAGGCCACACAGGCCCTCCCAGGTCCCACAGGATCCACAGGTCACACAGGTTCCACAGGTTCTGCAGGTCCCACAGGTCCCACAGGTCTCGCAGGTCCCCCAGGTCCCACAGGTCCCACAGGTCCCATGGCAATAGCGCGGCCGAACTTTGCCCAAACGTTTGGCCACATAGGCACATAGGCGTGTCCTAAACTGCAGGAGGCGGCGGTGATTCGCCGCAGGCGTCTTCGATACAAGAATGGAGGGTGGGTGGGGCTCAAAATATGGATCTCACTTCAGCGCCGCCAACTGTCGCCCTGAAAATGGCTGGCAGATACAAGAATGGGGGCGGTTACGTTTCGACGTGGGGCTCTCGCCTGTCGCATCCTCGACCATCATCAACAGTACCGGCCAGCTACACGAGAGGAGTGCGGCTCGTTTTCGACATCGGCCCATCGCTCGAGCCTTCCTGGACAGTTACGGCCACAAGTGCAAGCTTCTCCTCCTCCTCCTCCTCCTCCTCCTCCTCCTCCTCCTCCTCCTCCTCCTCCTCCTCCTCCTCTTTCTCCTCCTCCTCCTCCTCCTCCTCCTCCTCCTCTTCCTCCTCCTCCTGCTCCGGATCCACTTTCCCCAATCCGGAGGCCCGGACCGACCCCCGCGCCTCGAACCTGGCGCCCCAGTCCCACTCGCAGGACCCGGTGCTGGGCCACCTCAGACGCGCCGAAGGGCCAGGGCCACTCGGCGGCGCGCACAAGGGGGCGGAGGGAAGGGGGAAGGCTTCTTAGAATGAGGCTGCTTCTTAGAAGGCCCCGGCCTTACATCTATAGAGAAGGCCCGCTCCTTCTAAGAAGCAGGGGTGCTTCCGAGAAGCCCTCCCCCCTCACCCCACCCCCCTCTGCGCGTGGCTGAGATTGGGTGTCCGCCGCCCCCTACAGGGGACGGAAAAGGTGGAGTCCCTCGATCCCTGAAGTAGGAGGGCGCTCGAAGCAGACTGGAAATCGGGGACTCTAAAGATACCTGTTTTTTCAACGACCGACGAGTATGAAGGGGCCCAAGGACACACAAATGAATACGCACAAATCCCAGGATGCCCCATATTTTCCAATATTTTCTGGGCGTCCGTCTTCCCCCCTACTTCCCATACGTTCCCATATTTTCCTGGAGATCCACGACTAACTTTGTCTGTGTTTTTGTCCCCCACCCGAGAGCAGTGATGCTGCGTCCTCGCCTCCGTGCTGGCCAGAAGCGCAGAGGGCATCCATCCGCGGTTTCCAAAACAGAGGCCCCCCTCGCCCGAGTGGCGGGCCCAAAGGGGGCGGTCGTCGTTCAGGCGGGCGCCCCCCGCAACTCAGGAAGGACGGCTGAGCGGGACTGCCGAGAGGGGGCACTCGGGACCTCTGAGAAGGTGCACTGCAGCATCGTTGGTGCACCCTCGGCTCACTGAAAGTCCGCCTCCTCCTCCTCCTCCCCCCCCCCCGCCTCCCCGTCCTCGCAGTTTTCCTTGCCGCTCTCCACGTGGCTCCTCCCAGTAGTCCTCCTTCTCCTCCTCCTCCTCCTCCTCCTCCTCCTCCTCCTCCTCCTCCTCCTCCTCCCTCCCTCCTCCTCCTCCTCCTCCTCCTCCTCCTCGTTATCCTCCTCCGCCTCCTCCTCCTCCTCCTCCTCCTCCTCCTCCGTCTCCTCAGTTTGATTGTAGTGTTCTTCCCCTCCCGTTTCTCGTCCTCGTGCTTATCGCCGTTGTCCTCCTCCTCCTCCTCCTCCTCCTCCTCCTCCTCCTGTTGCTCCTCCACCTCCTCCTCTTCCACGTCATCCTCTCCTCCCTTATGGCCCTTCAGTCGCATTCCCTGGCGCGCCCTCCCCGCGCCAGCGAGGGAGCAGCACCTCGGAAGCCGCGCTCGGGCGACACCCGCCGAGCCAGCAGGGGAAAAGGGCGGGCACAGGCCCGCCAGCTGCTTGACAGGCTTGCCTCTGATCAGGTCTGGGATGTGTATTGATCTTCGGGCAGCTGCGCGAGGCACCAACTTCGGCGGCGAAGTTTGCACGCCTGCAGTCGTGGGGGGGAGGCGAAGAGGGGAGGCCCGAGGAGGGGAGAGGGAGGAATGGGGAAGGGGGGGGGAGACGGGGAAGGGAAGGCGACAGCAAGAGAAACGTGGAGGTGAAAAGGGGGAAGAGGAAGGGGGAGGGAGACGGGAGATCAGCGTGGCGGAAGGCGGGGGGACGGGAGGGGAGGAGAAGGGCCCGACCGTCTCCCTCCTCCCCTGCTCCACGTCCATCCGTCCACATCCTTCTACTCCTCCTCTTCGCCCCTTCCTCCCCATGTTCATTCCTCCTCCTCCTCCTCCTCCTCCTCCTCCTCCTCCTCCTCCTCCTCCTCCTCCTCCTCCTCCTCCTCCTCCTCCTCCTCCTCCTCCTCCTCCTCCTCCTCCTCCCCTCCTCCCTCCTCCTCCTCCTCCTCCTCCTCCTCCTCCTCCTCCTCTCCTCCTCCTCCTCCTCCTCCTCCTCCTCCTCCTCCGTCTCCTCCTCGTCCCTCCCCACCCAGTCTGCCGCGCGCAAACGCGGCGCGAAGCCGCTCAAGCGGCGGCGCGCGCGGCCAGGGCCGTCGCGCCCGGGCCGTCGCAGCCGCTCTCGGGGGCAGCAGTCGAGGCCCAGCGCGCGCGGCTCGATTCGCGCGCGGCGACGGGAACCTGGCGCCCGACGCGCTAATCCACGAAGGCAGCGCACAGCGGGCGGCAGGCGCGCCGGGCCGCAGCGCCGTGGAGCTACGGCGCTGCGCGCAACACCAACATGAACAACTGGTCGGCGAGCCCGTAGTTGGCCGCGCCAGAGATATGTCATCCGCCGCCAGCCGGCCGGCCAGCGAGGTCGCTCTGCCCGGCGGCCGCGCGGCTGCCCGCCCACCCGCGGCGCCGGCGCATCCTCGGGCACTGGGCGCCAGAACTGTTGTTCCAAATCAAGCCGCCCTTCGCCACGGGGGACCACGAGCGCGACGACGCGCAGCTCCGGCCCGACTGAGCGGCGGCCTTCGCCAGGGCGAGTCGGGCCCCCGCGACGCGGCGCGAGGTGCCTCGGCAAGGCCGATGGCACCAAGTACGTCGAGCGAATATTTTGCGGAGCCCTCTCGCGCCCAGGACCCGCGGCGCCCCCTGCGACGCGCGCCCTTCGTTCCTTGCAGCAGGCAGCGGGCGACCTCTGGTCGCTGCGCATCATCGCCCGGGGCAGTCAGTCCCAGGCCGCGCGGCACGGGCCCCCGAAGACCCCGGCGCCCAATTCGCCGGCCCAACGGGCCAGAGGCGTGCTAAGATCTCCGGTAACTGGTTAACAATTTTCTAGTTCGCGCGCGCGGGGCGGCCCCTGGGGGTCCCCGGACGAAAAGTACCCCGACCAGGTCCCGGCCGGGTCCCCCCGAGCGCTCCATGAGCGCACCAACAGGGCTCCGAGACGTCCCCGAGAGCCCCAAGAAAGGCCAAGAGGCCCCCAAGAGGCCCCCAAGATGGTACACGAGGGGTCCGACATGCCACAAGATCGCTCCAAGACGCCCAAGATAGCCCCCAGACGCCCCAAGAGGCCTCCAAGAGCACTCCCAATAGGGCCCCCGGAGGCAAAAATCATTGTTTTTCCATAGGTTTTTGAGAGATTTTGGAGCTTCCACCTTTTCGGCTTCCCGACGCCCCAAGACGGCCCAAGAGGCCCCCAAGATCGCCCCAAGAGGGCCCAAGAGGCACCCAAGAGGGCCCCAAGATGGCCCAAGAGGGCTCGAAGACGGCCCAAGAAGCCTCCAAAACGGTCCAAGAGGGCCCCAAGAACGCCCCCAAAGGGGCCCCAGAGAGGGAACACGAAACAACATTTCGAGCCCTCGGCCCTAAGAAGCCCCTACGAGGCCCCTAAGAGGCCCCAAGAGGCCCCCACGGGGCCCTCAGGAGGCCCCCAAGAGTCCCCCAAATGCCCCCCCGAGCGCCCCAGGAGTCCCCCAAGCGGCCCCAGGAACCCCCAAAGCGCCGCATTGACACCAGGCCCTCAGGCAAACGGCAGACATGAGACTGTATGGGCCGGCGGAATGAGCGAAGCGATTAAATAACATTGCCAGCCTGACACCCGGCGGAGGTCGCGTCGCTTGTCGCGCAAGCACTGCGCATGGCCAACGCGCGCGCCGCGCAGCTGGCCGCCGTCGTCGCGCAGGGTGGCATCGAGCCCGGAATGTGGGCCTGGCCCGCCAAGGGAAGGCCCCCCCTCGCCAAGCTCCGCGGGCGCGGCCACCATCAAGATCTAGGCCTGGCGGCAGTCGTTGTTCTTGCGCGCGGCTGCCAAGACCGCGGGCTGGTCTCCGAGCCAGGTCAAGTCAAGGCCACTGGCGGCCGATCCTCTGCGCCAGCCGACGTTGCCCAGCGCGCGCAGACGAAACGGGCGAGCATCTGGAGCGGCGCCGAGTGCGAGAGCAGCCCCAGTGACTCGGATAGCCCCATGGACGCGACGCGCCAACCGCAGGACCTCGACGCCTTCGCGGTCACAAGCGCGCCCCTGCAGTCGGCGGCGCAGCTTCGCGCGGCCCCCCGCGCCTCCCCGCGGGCAGCGCGGCTAGGGCCCCATGCCTTTCACCCCGGGCAACGCCGGCCAGTCGCCGCCACTGCCGTCGGCGCTCGGTCTCCAGCCGCGCGCGTCGGAGCTCCGGGGGCTGCCGGCCGAGGCGGGCGCCGATGGCCCGCGTCACTGAAGGGGCCCTGGGACACACATATAAATAAACACAAAAAACAAGATTCCACATATTATCCTATATGCTCTTGGTTTTTTGTCTCCCCCCCAAATCCCATAGATTCGAATATTTCCTGGGGAATCGACGATTTAATTGTGTCCGCGCGTTTTTTCCCTCCTGGATCGCAGCGCTGGGCGAAGGCGACGAAGAGCTGGAGGCCGAACTCAAGGCCGCGCCCTCGCGCGCTCTCTCTCTACGGGCCGCGGGCCATCGCGAGAGCCATCGCAGTCAGGCAGCAGGCCGCGCGCCGCCAGCTGCCGCAGCTCGACCGCGGGGCAGGCCGGCCCCCAGCCCGCAATCCACGTCGCCAGTCGAGCATTGGCGCAGAGCGACGCGGACGACGAGGACACCGCCACGCCGGCCCCCCCCCCCATGGACATCGAGAGCTGCGTCGTCAAGGTCCACTGGGCAGGAACGGCCCCGCAGCGGCGGCCGCGGGCTTCGCGCTGCAGATCCTGCGCCTGGCCACCACGGCCCACCAGGCCCCGAGGAGGGCCACGCGGGCGGGGCGATCCTCGACGGGCGCGCGACCTGCCCCAAGGATCCTGCCCACTTGCGTTTCCGCCTCGGGCACCCTGCAGGTCTTCGCGAGGAACCCGCGTGCCAAATACGTCGGGAGTGACGTCGATCGCCCCATGCCGGTTTGCCGCCTGGGCGTCTACGCAGACGACCTCACGGAGGCGCTGCAGGGCTCGGGGGCGGACTCCATCGGGCGCGCAGGCGACGTCCTCACGACCTAACCTGCAAGCTGCGCGACGAGCTCTGGCATCCATCGGCGGCCACGCGGCGATCGCCAGAGCCCCGCAGTCCTACGACGGCTGGAAGATCGCGCGCAGCTTCCGTCAGCGTGGCATCCGCTTCGTCGGCTCCATGAACATCCTCGGCGCGGAGGCGTGAACTGACCGCCTGCCGCGCTCCGCTGTCCTCCGCCAGCTGCCCTCTGCCCGCGCCAAATTTGACAGATGCGCAAACTGTGCGGGGGGTCATCATGATTACCGCGGCCGCAGTGCCAGCGACTACGCGGGCGCGGCACGGGTATCCCGGGCGCCCCACCGCCAGCGGCGCACCAGACACAAAGCCCCCGAGAGGCGGCGACAGGCCGCGCGCCGCCCGTCACCCAGGCGTCAGATGGACTGACTCGACCGACGGCATGATCAACATATCCCAGCCTGGGCGGCCCCCATCCAGCGCTGGGCCTGTCCCGCGGCCTGCCCTAGGCTTCGCGGCGGCGGCAGCCGCAGGTCCTGCGCGCGGCGGCTGATCTACGGCAGTGCGTGGCGGTGCCGACTGACGGGGCCATCGCGGCGGCGAAGGACATCGGGTGGATCCCGACATCTTCGACAGCCCGGCGCGCGCGCAGGGCGAGATCCTGCCCCTCGAACGCGAGGCGTCGGCCGCAGTCAGAGCGCCCCACCTGCGGGGTGGCACGGCACCGCGCTGGGCGCATCCTGCGCAGGAGTGCGAGGAGGCGCCTGGGGGCGCGCCGACGCCCCGAGACAAGCTGGGCCACTGGGTCAAGACGCCACAGGAACTGCGCAAACCTTGGCGACCCACGCGGCGGAGGCTTGTAGACGCGGCTCAGGAGGGCCACGCGCTCAGTCCGTCGTCATCGTCGCGCACTGGACCAGGAAGGGGAGTGGCGCAGCCCAGCGGCGCAGACCGCGACGAATGCCTCCCGCGCGGAGCTGCGGGTCACCCTTCACCACTGTTGCGGACGGCGGCACGGCGCCTCGGCCGAGATGTGCGACCCCACCTCAAAAAATGGCGACGCACGAGGAGGCCTGCGCCGCAAACGCGGCCTCCCGATTCTGAACGCGGGCGCCGAGGGCGCGCGCTGCATTGCCAGCTCCAGGCCAGCGCGACGAGTCGGCAGCTGGCGACGCGGGCTCGGCCGAACAGACGACTTCATGACTGGGGATGGCTACTACGACAGCAGCTGTCGCAGCCGCTGGCATTGGCCAGAAGCGGCGAGCGCGGGCCGGGGTCTCGTCGTCACTCGCCACAGCCAGGAAGTCGTCGGCCACTGCGGCGCCCTCCCAGGTTCCGCTCAGACGTGGCCGCGGCCACAGCACCGGGCGGCCTTGCAGGCGTTCCGCGTCGCCGCCCCGCCGATCACGCTCTACTCGGGCCACCTGCCTTTCGTGCAAGCTGTCCTGTTCGTCACGGAATATGCCCTCGCTCCCGCGCGCGCCAAGCGTGCAAGCTGGGAACTGATCTCCGAAAAAGTACCTGGTACCTGGCTCTCGGCGGCGCCGGCGCCATACGCAGTAGGATCACAATGTTTTGGGAGGATGCCCGAGTGTCTCTTCGGTCTCTGTGCTATGTACCTAGCCACGGGTGCAATCGGTCTGCAGGCCCGCTGCCTGATGGTCTCTGCGGCCGTTCCGTGCTCTGTGCCCGGCCGCCTGCAGTCAAATTTGATTCGCATGCCCGCCTCTTACTTGTCTTTGCGGCCGATGTGGCCCGTGCCCGTTGCTGCAGTTACACCTGTCTCGCATGCCCGCCCTGACCTTCTCAGTGGCTCTGCGCATTGCGCCCGCCGCTGTGAGCGCCTGCTCGTTCACGGGTTCCCCTCCTCAGTGCAGGCACGCCACGCGGGACCCGCGGCTCAGGCCAGCATGTTTTGAGCCGAGCCCACTTGCAGCCTTGGCAGCTGCGGTCCCACTCGAACGGATGTGGGTGTTGGAGTGCTAGCACTCTGCGGATATTACGGAGAACCTCCTGGTCACCATCATCATCATCATCATCATCATCATCATCATCATCATCATCATCATCATCATCATCATCATCATCAGCAGCATCATCGTCATCATCATCATCTGCATCATCAGCAGCATCAGCATCAGCATTATCAGCATCATCACCACCAGCATCATTAGCATCATCACCACCAGCATCATCAGCATCACCATCATGATAATCATGATCAGCATCATCATCAGCATCATCATCAGCATCATCATCAACATTCGCCGCTCCTCCTCCTCCTCCTGTTCCTCCTGCTCCTCCTCCTCCTCATCATCATCATCATCACCATCATCATCATCATCATCATCACCACCACCATCATCATCATCATCATCATCATCAGCATCATCATCATCATGGTCCTCCTCCTCCTGCTCATCCTCCTCTTCGCTCCCGCATTATCCCTCACCGCCCCTTATTCACCCTTCCTCTCTCTTTCTCTCCCTCCCAACTCCCGCTCCTCCCACGGTATGGCGAGCATCGAATCGAAATCGAGCGTTCAGTTGCAACAACCAGATGTGAGTCAAGCGGCATGCCTTAGAGAAAGTCTTTGCCTTCTCACCAGCATATGGCCTCCGCGCGCAAGATACATCAGCTGGCAATAAAAACAACACGACGATGAGATATTCCACAGGTCGGTACGCACATGCCTTACACCGACAACGGATCATGCTTATTATACACCCTGCAAGCTTTGCACTGTTGAAGCAAACACCACGTCTCACGTCTGGAACAGCAGCTGTGATATCGACGTCCCGCACCGAGCGCAGTACACGGGCAACAAACACATCTCAACACTGAGGACCGGTGACAGATCATGCGGCGGGTTCCGGACACCCTGAACCCAAAAATATCGTCATCTCTTGGAGGCGCACCCTTTTACTACCGCCGCCTTCTGGCGGCCTGCCGCCTGCTTCAACCAACGGAACCGCCCTCGATTTTCTTCCGCCGCACTCCGCAGGCCTTCCGCCGGTTTACGCCGAGGAAGAGATGGCAACACCTCCGATCCTCACAGGCGAGGACCGTTCTGGAGCGCGCCGAATATTCATGTGACGCTCGACATGCGGAGGCGTCGCAGGGTCAATTAGCTGTGGCACCAGCGCGCGTCGAGCTTTGGCTGGGCCGAGAGTATACCATCAATGAAACGGACGGGCACACTAGAAAAACATCGCCAGTATCGCTGGATGGCCCACCAACATTATATTCGAAGGAAATATCCAAACAGAGGCGTGAGCGAAATAATGTTATCAGTGCTCGTTTTGCGATCGCTGCTCCTCGTTATGGTCTCGTTATGCCTTCGCTGCACAAACACATCATAACGAAAACGGTCCAGGAAGTAGCCAAAACACTGTTCAGCTCGAGCCCTAACTAGAGCTGCCTTCCAACTCCGCATCTGGAAAATCACCTCCGCCTGAAACCTCGCACACAGTCGGGCTTGATTGGACAAGACACGCGAAAGGACACGAGACACTTCCGAGGGCGACATTGCCATAGGAATGTAGAAAGCATGAGTTACGAGACACAGGACTCAAGGGTACCCTCGATTTGGCAGGGTCGACCTACTAATCATGGCCGACTGTATCTGACCAACCCGCTGGCGTGGATGGTTGAGCAAGTCACCTGCTCCAACAAAACCCCCTTCGGGTAGGAATTCACCACTAAGCGTACCCCTCCCGAAAGGCTGGGGCCTCCCCTCCCCTTCCGCCCCGCCACCACCCCTTCCACACACCCCTTCCGTCACCACCTCCATCCAACCCCACCCCACTCAGCGCGGCCGTGTTCGTGTGGCAAGACGCATGCCTGATGTGCGGCTGGATGCGCTTTTACTGTTGCCCGCACTGGCCCTTCAACTGAAAGATAAGCGGCACGACCTCTGCTGCAAAATCTAAAACGATTCACCACTCAGTGCTTGCATTCCCGCAGAGGTCGCTGCGGAAAGACAAGATTGAGACCTGTGGCAAGGAACGTGATTGAGCAAGCAGAAGAAAAAGCTCGGTCAATAAGTGTTTCAACATGTTTCATGACTGCCACACTTGGGTACCTCTTGGATACATCCGTTTTGCTCAGCACGCTCGCGCGTTCCTCTTCTGATTGCGTTGCCCTGTCGTCCCCCGACTTGAAAATATGGCGGGAGCTTGGTTTCTGCCTTACAACTTTCATCCCATGATGCACTACCTACACCATGCTGGCGATCGGCCGCAAAAGGCGCCCGAAATGGAAACACGGCAACAACGGCCTGAGACGCACGGCAATCTGCGAATCGATGTGTAACCCTGCAGTTGCGGATAAGAGTGAAGGGGCGGGCGTGGGGTGGGTCGCGGGTGGGTCGCGGGCGGGTGGTGGGTGGGTCGCGGGGTGGGTCGCGGGTGGGTCGTGGGTGGGTCGCGGGTGGGTCGCGGGTGGGTCGCGGGTGGGTCGCGGGCGGATCGCGGGTGAGTCGCGGGCGGGACGACTGAAACAAACAACAAACGACAAACAATGAACAACAAGCACAACAACAACAGCAGCAGCAGCAACAACGAAAACAATCATGCTATAAATGCTCGTTCGTATCTGCTCGCGTGCTATTCAACACGTATATCCCAGACCCTCGATACCCGCCCTCTCCGTCTTCGATGGTACCCCCTTAGGGGCACATCTCTCTTACCTGCAACATTTATTTTCGTGCAACCCCTAGGGCAGGGGAAGAGAGAACGGATGGAGGAAAGGACAACGGGCAGGCCAGGCGGCGGGTTGCTGAAGCGCGCGTCCTGCATGAATCGTGAGGAAGTCTCGAGCGATAGCGCGATTCGCATGTGAATCGTGGGGAAATCCACACCGAGAGCGTGATTCCTGACGGTCGAGGGCGCGGCGTCTGAATAACTTGTGAGGACGTCCCACGCGAGACTGCGACTCCTCTAGAAAGTGTGAGAAAGTCCCGCTCGACAGCGCGATCTGGGAATATCTTGTGACGAAGTGTAAGCCGCTGTTGTTGCAAACCAGAGGGCTGGAACACAGTTCGGTGAAACCTCACCATCCCTCGTAAAAGACTACGTGCGAGCCCCAGGGAGAAGCACTTTGATTGAAATGCAAAGGTTACCAGAAGGGGATCAACAATATTTTTGTTATACCTGAAAACTCAGAAACAACAACAACAACAACAACAACAAACCGGCGACGCTCGCTGGCGCCCCTATGATCGGAATAATCGGATCCGATTACTCCGATCATTGGATGATCGGAGTGATCGGATCCGATTATTCCGATCATTGGATGATCGGAATGATCGGATCCGATTAGTCCGATCATTGGATGATCGGAGTGATCGGATCCGATTATTTCGATCATTGGATGATCGGAATAATCAGATGCGATTACTCCGATCATCCAATGATCGGATTACTACAATTCCGATTGTATTGGATGATCGGAATAATCGGATCCGATTACTCCGATCATTGGATGATCGGAATAATCAGATGCGATTACTCCGATCATCCAATGATCGGAATACTACAATTCATTGTATTGGATGATCGGAATTAATCTTACTCCGATCATCCAATGATCGGAATAATCAGATGCGATTACTCCGATCATCCAATGATCGGAATACTACAATTCCGATTGTATTGGATGATCGGAATAATCGGATCCGATTACTCCGATCATTGGATGATCGGAATAATCAGATGCGATTACTCCGATCATCCAATGATCGGAATAATCAGATGCGATTACTCCGATCATCCAATGATCGGAATAATCAGATGCGATTACTCCGATCATTGGAATGATCGGAATAATCAGATGCGATTACTCCGATCATCCAATGATCGGAATACTACAATTCCGATTGTATTGGATGATCGGAATATTGGATGATCGGAATCCGATCCGATTACTCCGATCATTGGATGATCGGAATAATCAGATGCGATTACTCCGATCATCCAATGATCGGAATAACCAGCTGCGATTAATCCGATCATCCATTGCTCGGAATAATCAGATGCGATTACTCCGATCATCCAATGATCGGAATACTAAATTCCGATTGTATGATCGGAATAATCAGATGCGACTACTCCGATCATCCAATGATCGGAATAATCGGATCCGATTACTCCGATCATTGAATGATCGGAATAATCAGATGCGATTACTCCGATCATCCAATGATCGGAATAATCAGATGCGATTACTCCGATCATCCAATGATCGGAATAATCAGATGCGATTACTCCGATCATCCAATGATCGGAATAATCAGATGCGATTACTCCGATCATCCAATGATCGGAATACTACAATTCCGATTGTATTGGATGATCGGACTAATCGGATCAGAATACTCCGATCATTGGATGATCGGAATAATCAGATGCGATTACTCCGATCATCCAATGATCGGAATAACCAGATGCGATTACTCCGATCATCCAATGATCGGAATAATCAGATGCGACTACTCCGATCATCCAATGATCGGAATACTACAATTCCGATTCTATTGGATGATCGGAATAATCGGATCCGATTACTCCGATCATTGGATGATCGGAATAATCAGATGCGACTACTCCGATCATCCAATGATCGGAATAATCAGATGCGATTACTCCGATCATCCAATGATCGGAATAATCAGATGCGATTACTCCGATCATCCAATGATCGGAAAATAATTCTAGATGCCGATTACTCGACATACATGATCTGTGGAATACTACAATTCCGATTGTATTGGTATGATCGGATTCGGATCCGATTACTCCGATCATTGGGATGTCAAAATAATCAGATGCAGATATATAACTAAATATATATCATCCAATGCTCGGAATAATCAGATGCGATTACTCCGATCATCCAATGATCGGAATAATCAGATGCGATTACTCCGATCATCCAATGATCGGAATACTACAATTCCGATTGTATTGGATGATCGGTATAATCGGATCCGATTACTCCGATCATTGGATGATCGGAATAATCAGATGCGATTACTCCGATCATCCAATGATCGGAATTATCAGATGCGATTACTCCGATCATCCAATGATCGGAATAATCAGATGCGATTACTCCGATCATCCAATGATCGGAATACTACAATTCCGATTGTATTGGACGATCGGAATAATCGGATCCGGTTACTCCGATCATCCAATGATCGGAATAATCAGATGCGATTACTCCGATCATCCAATGATCGGAATACTACAATTCCGATTGTATTGGATGATCGGAATAATCGGATCCGGTTTTACTCCGATCATGGGATGATCGGAATTATCGAGATTGCGATTACACGATCATCCAATGATCGGGAATAATCAGATCGATTACTCGATCATCCAATGATCAGAATAATCAGATGTGATTACTCCGATCATCCAATGATCGGAATACTATTCCGACTGTACTGGATGATCGGAATAATCGGATCCAATTACTCCGATCATTGGATGATCGGAATAATCAGATGCGATTACTCCGATCATCCAATGATCGGAATAATCAGATGCGATTACTCCGATCATCCAATGATCGGAATATCAGATTGCGATTTATTCCCGATCATTCCA